AAGAGCACCACATGCGGTGTTAATACTTGTTGTATAGGACAGTGACTGTCAATAACCAATTGTTTTAAGTATTTTAAATTAAAAGTCGCTTTTCTTCTAGTGACACTTATGTCCACTGGTACAAATAACATATTTGTTACAGCATTGTTACAAAAGTAACACAACAAATTATAATACTCAGCCAATTTAGTATTTTTTGTGTGACATAGTTATTCAAACGTTATCATGTACTACTTGTTTTGATTATCAACTGGGAGGAAATAAAGCTTCTTCATTTATTTGCATTTACTTTTCAACAGTGAAGATACATCCAGGAATAGTGTAAATGACTATGTCATCTATAATTATTATTGGTGATACCAGAAGAAAGAATGTCGTTCCCGTATATCATATCATATCATATAATACCATACCATATCATATACCATACCATACCATACCATACCATACCATATCATATCATATCATATCAAAACATATTATATTATATTATACTATATCAATTTGTTACATTTAACAGAGACAAATACACTTGAACGATATCAGATATCTGTCAGCTCCCAGATAGACGAATCTTGCTGACTGATGAAGAGAATGAAAATGTTAAAATGCTTGACGTGAACTACATTGTAAAAGACAGCTGCGAACTATATTCCGCACCAACTGGAATATGTTGTGTCAGTAGGAATGAAATTGCTGTTAAAACAGTTAACAACAAAGTCCAGTTTATATCTGTTGTAACATATCTGTCAAAAACAAGATGTATTTCAATAACAGGCAGAGGATTTTACGGTATGGCGTGATTTAATGGAGGACTCCGGTTATCAAGAGGTACTGGCATAAATATATATAATACTAGGGGAGCTTTAGTCAAATCTATTGACAGTAACCAAAATGGCAAGAACTTATTTAAATATGGCTGTGACTGGTGAAACAGTGATTATTGCTGACAATTCTGATGGAGTAATCTGTCTTAACCAGGACGGTCAAGTCCTGTGGGAAGTGAGGGAGAATAGATTGAAGAACTCCCGTGGTGTATTTATATCTGAAGACGGTACCGTGTTTATATGTGAATTCATCTCTAACATCATTCTAATGTTCAACAAGGATGGGCAACTTATCGGAAAGTTACATGGTGAAACGCTTGTTTTGAGGAATCCTTTCACTTTGCAATATGATAGAAAAAAAGCTCTTATAGTTGTATCGAACCGATCAAATACTAGTGTACTTAGTTTTATTGATAAGATAACTAATATATCATAAATACAGATGACATTATTTATCAAAGTGATATTAAGCCTTAAACAAGAAGTATTTTTTTTCTAAAAAAAGATTCTAGGCCAAGGTAAATCTGATTTTCTTGCAAATACTATTTCCGATTTCTGTATTTATGAAGAAATGTTCGCAGTGTCTGTTTGATGATGTAATAATGACAGCTAATGCTTCTTAAATTCAAAGTTATGCAAGGCTCTCAGTCGGGTTAATTCAACAAACTGTACTACGAGTTGGTGTATTGTGCTTATTTCTATCGGCAATATCTTCCCTCTACAACTTAGAAGCGATTGTTTGACCCAGAACAAAACGTACCTTAGAACTAGCTGTTGGCGTTGAAAATTTTTGACAAATCACTCTTTTAACACAATTTTATAACAAATCACCAATGTTTGAATCAGTCAAACACTTTCTTTTCATCATGAATGCATCGATGTCAATCGTCACCGTTTTTTGTTACATTGTAATATTTTATTTTTGAAAGTGATATATAATTGTTAAGAACGATAAGTAGCTATAATTGTATTTTGAACCTATATTGACTTGTCCAAAATAATTTTTAGAATAATTCCATACACATCCTCTATGAAATACATAGCAAATATCGAAGACGCCAAAACATACAAAAACTAAATGATTCTAAAAACATGTATTTCGTACTAAAACATATTTGTTCAATTCGTCCCCGGGAGATGCTTTGGTAGTTAAGCGCGGAGGAAGGTAGTCTAGTACTGGTGTTACCAATAGTTAGGAAACTACCCACCTATATGACTGAAATACTGTTGGGAAAATGCGTAAAATGAAACAAACAAACAAAGTAAGATTCAATTCGTTTTTATCATTGTGTATTATGAATGTTTGTTTCGACTGAAACAGGATTTATTAGGCCATGTATAATTTTGGATGTTATTTTTAGATTTAAATCAAACAACTGAAGTTATCGTAATTCTAAATTTCCCCGAACATACCAAAAGACACTTAATAATCCGAATAAACGTTAGTAACATACCTGTGTAATCTCTCAAAGTATATCATACCTGTGTAATCTCTCAAAGTATATTTGAAAACTAATACAATTGACAAACCGTAGTCGGCGGTAATATATATATATATATATATATATATATATATATATATATATATATATATATATATATATATATATAATATATATATATATGCATAAATAGATGAAAATCATTAACTAACTCAATTGAACAATCCAATCACGTATTTGCAATAAGTCATTGAGAGCCGGATAAATTCGTCACCATAATGGGTAGTCTCGTTATTTTGGGCAAACAATAACTCGATAATAAGATTACAAAAGCAGTACAAAATAATTTGTTAGAGGAAATATGGTTTAATATAAATCAAATCTTTATTACATATGATTAAAAACATTTTAATTTTGTTATCTCTAACAATATCGTTTTGATCATCCATATCCGAAATCATATCCACCTATATGTACTAATAGGATGTGCATAAACTTGTACTGCCACAATCCACTTAATTGCACGAGTAAATAAATATAATTGTGTGTTTTGGACACAAGAGATTATGTGAAGAACTCGAGTATCACTTGAAGAAAAAAACTCATAAAAAAAAGCATAACATTGTGTTTTGTGAAAGAGAAAACACAATCTGGTGTTTATTAAACACCACATATATATATGTTTTACCATGACGCTACCTATGTCTAGACCTACATATTATTAAATTTAAACATGTTAAAGATGAATTGAAAAATGACACCTTTACCGTTGAAAAAATGCATGAATCATCTTAACAGCTTATGTATATATACTCTTCAATACTCTAATAGTATAATAACATTTACCAACACTGGTGTTTGTAAATGTAGCGGATTGGAATTAAATATCAAATAAACTTTACATGCACATTAATTGAGAAACAAATCACACCCAGTTGACAAAATTAAACCACAAGAAATTCACGTTATTCAAACAGAATAAATCCTACTCGAATTTCAATGCACTACGTAACGTATGTGTCTGCCGCTTATTGACTTAATGTGAATTATACAAGTAAGAATTTTCACACCGACACCGGCCAGTTAAATCGAAAGAAGAAGACGCCTACAGGTAAAATGTTGTTATGAAATAATTGTTAAAGGTTGTCACAAGATTAATATTAAATAGGGTACTTTAATACTCTCATAAAATGAGATTATTTGGAAACTGTAAAAAATGCTCTTAACCTAGTACTGTTAACGATAGTAATATCCATTTTAAATATTCATAAATGCAGAAAATATTAAGATCTATATTGAGCATAAGATGGTTATAAATATTACATAAATATCTATATTTAGTATCCTTACTATTTACTAAATATTTAACTCTTTCCGCTGACATGAAATGGAAATATTTCAATTAAACAATACAATTAGAATAGAAAATTGACAGATAACAAAATATAAATGACCTTGAATGACATGGGCGGTATCATGTGTCATGATATAAACTGATGATTATTGAAGGATATCAGATATCTTAAGTTGATACCACTGCTTTGGTTAGGTGATACTATGGCAATCAATGAGTTAATAGGAGTGTTCAGGTAAAGTAATAACAAAAACTACATTTTGTTATATATGTTAACAATTTTATAACAAATGTCACCACATAGTAAGTAATCGGAATAGTGGCGACCCACATAAATATCTATAAATATCCTTCAGAATGTGTTCATTTTTTTCTTAAAAATAGGAGGGACGTCTTTTCTTATTTTAGGGAGTTGTGATATTTTAATCTAAACTTTTGTTATTATAGTTCAATCGCCATAAAAAAGTCAATTATTTTTAAGAATTTTCTTTTAAGAATTACATATATATTATAACTTAAGCATACGTAGATATTATTTTAAAATAATAAAATACATGTTTGTCATTGTAAGTACGGGATAGACAATGGTAAGATACTACGTCATTGCGTTCCTGCAAATGATCCCAAATCGGACTTGTTTTTTTGTCGTTGTTTTTTTTATTGACTCAAAGATAAAATATATTTTTTTATCTAATATCAAAAAATAATGAAGCACACCAAAGATTGACTTAAGTACTTGATACAATTCTTAAAACACGTGTCTGGCTTGAGTATGAAAACGGGACAAGTTTTGTTACGGAGTCAGAGTGGGGGCATTTAAGAAAGAAATTAATCCACTTTTAGGACTAAACTAGGCAGTAAAACTTTAAACGTCTTTAAACAAATATATCATGTTCTAATGACATTTTTTGTAAATATTTACTTAAATTATAAACACGCCCATTAACTGGTTCTAATGAGATCTGTTGGTTGAGGGTAGAACAATTGTGGGCTTCGTAAGTTTGTATAATGAATGAAATCGATTGCTGCACAATATATCATAGAAAATTATGTCTGTAAAGAGAGACAAAAATGAAAAAAAATAATAATTCAGTTTAAAACTGACATGTGTTCCCTTGTGAAATTAAGAGAAATAAAAGATCAGCTTCTACCTTAAAGGAGAAAAGTTTCGACACATATGACCTTAAAAATGTTTAAATTAAAACTCCATAACTAGAATAAACTAAGTTATTTGATATTACTTAACGTTCATTCATTAAAAACAAAACGTAAATTAAGTGTTATACGAGGTCTGCTTCTACCTTAAGCAGAAAAGTGTCGGCATATGACCTTTAAAAGGTTTAATTTAAAACTCCATATCTAAAGTTATTATTATTATTATGTCATATTTAGCCACTAAAAGCAATTATACGTGCATTGGCAGTTGATTATTTTATATATTGCAGAATGGCCGAAGGGAGCACCTTCCCGTCGTTTACAGATGGTTCTGATGCCTGTGCTGAAAACTGTTGCACACCATGTGGAGAGGACAATGTCAATGAAGAAGCTGTGAAATATTGTCCTGAGTGTGACGAGTATCTCTGTACAAGATGTACAAGTCAGCATACTTGGCGGAATGCTACAAAATCACACAAGCTGGTTGATAAAAAAGATGCCAAACACAGCCTTTCTGGTGTTAAAACCAAATGCCTCTATCATTTGGACCGAGATATAGAGATGTTTTGCAGAACACATGACATGGTTTATTGTACCATGTGCATAGCAACAGATCATAGGTGACGCATTTCATTAAAAAAGGATATATTTCATGAAGCTTCATCATTCATATAAAATCTTAAGCAAAACATATAACATATGGCATGAAATTAGTTAACATATTTATCATTTGCCCTGATAATGAATCGAACTGAAAAGTAACTGAAATGATACGTATGTATCAAATTGACATTTTCATTTCGACGGTTTTTTTTTCGAAGAAAAAAAAGTAGAGGTATTGTTACAGGTATGTCGGTGTTCCTGTTGTCGTCCGCAAACTTTAACCTTGATTATAACTTTTTAAGTTTTTGATGGATTGTCTTTATATTTGGTCACAACAAGCCTAGAAACAAGACCTTTATACTGGACCTTGGTTCATGAATGTCATTGACCTTTAAGGTCAAATGTTTAAATTTGCTTGTTTGTTGCTGATTTGGCTATTTGTGACTATACCATGGGTTGTCATCACACTTGAACACAACAATCTTTTAGAATAAATCTGCAAGTTAACTAGATATACTTTGACCTTCTCTCCTAAATGACCTTGGAATTAAATGTCAAATTACTACAATCTTCTCTTTTTTCCTGTAACTGGCTTAAACTTTGTTATAATTAATAAATGGATTGACTTAATATTTTTTTAAGATAAGACCTTCATGCATATCAAAATCAAATTGAACTTTGTAATATATGAAAGGATTATATTCATATTTGGACGTAGAAAACATTTGGAAAGAATCTCCTAAAGTTGAACTGACCTTGACCTTGAGATTGAAATGAGCTTGATCGCAAGGTCAAATCATTGAATTTTAGTAAGTTGTCATAATTTTGTTATTTATGTACAGAGTTGATTCAAACGTCGACTAAAAATAACACTTGTGACGAAACGGACATGTTGAGTAATTAAGACCTTGACCTTTAAGTTACCTTAAGTTAGTCAAATGATTCAATTTTTTTTGTTATCTATTTATCAAAATGAGTCATACTTGCACAAAACTACAAGTATGACTAGACAGACCTATTAAATCTTTTTCTTTATAATTTGGTAGAGTGCATGTGTTTGCTTTTAGAAAAAGTAAAAAAATGTCAAAGTCTATTTGTATTCTATTTCATTTTGGATTTAATAACGTTTGATGTTAGTAATATCGGTGATTGTAAAGTATTGTTATTTAACAAACTCCAGTGATTTTAAAATCAATTAGATATGTAACTGATGGTGTGCATTTAGAAATGCATTGAATTTAAAATGATGATATGCATTTAATTTTATTGTATTGAATTATAGTTTTCATACTTCTGTTTATTTTCTTTAATACGGACATTTTCAAATCCCGATGAAGAGTTTTGTGTGTTCCACTGCGATGTCAAACACTAAGATATCTTCTTTTTTGAAAAGGCTTACGAAAAAAGAAGATAAAACCAACGAAAAAAGTAAAACAGTCACACTACAGTATTGTGATACATGAAATGTATTACTGAAGTTAATTATTACATCATCTTATATATATTTCAGAGCTTGTGAATATGTAGACAAAATTGAGTCCAAGTTTATGTCCAGTGTAAATCACACCGAGATTAATCGCCTATCTGATGAAATAACGACAGCTAAGGAAACCTTAATAAATGCAACAGAGAAACAAAAGCACAATCTGTCTTCACTCGAAGATGAAAGGAAAGACATAGACAAGACATTGGATGATATTGAGGAAAAAATGATACAGCGCATCAGAAAATTGAAACAAGAGGCAATGCAATCTGTAACCAAAAAGTATGACATGATGAAATTGGGACTTGAGCATGAAATTAGCACATCGTCCAATATGATTGAGTCTTTGAAGAAGGGTTATCAGCAACTGAAGTCAATGGATAGTCTTACCACAGAGCAGCAATTTATTTACTTGAAACTGACAAGGAATACTATTGAAAAAGGCAGAAAATTATATGCACAATCCGTTTCTAAAGGAATATGTTCAATCAGTTTCACAGCTAATAATGCATTTGCAGAATTTGTTTCATCAGTTGATTCGTTTGGTCAGGTTCAAGAAGGCAAGCAATTGACAAAACCAAAGCACAACAAAGTGAAGGCAATTAAAGATTATAATGTGAACAGTGACACAACTACATGTACAATCTCTGATATATGTCAACTACCAGACGGTAGAATCGTGTTAACAGATTATACAAACATAAATGTTAAAATGCTTGACATTAAATACAACGTCGTAGACAGTTGCGTATTAGATAACAATCCCACTGGCATATGTTGTATCAGCAGCAATGAAGTTGCTATTAAGATTACCAACAACACAGTCCAGTTTGTATCTGTTGAATCATCTCTGTCTAAAACAAGATGTATTTCAATATCAGGCGGGTGTTATTATGGAATGACATATTGTGATGGTAGACTTTGGGTATCTACAGGTGATGGTATTAACATATATAACACTGCAGGAACTTTGATCAAATCTGTTGAAAAAAAGCACAATGGTAATAGGATATTTAAATCAATTACCCAACATATGTCTGTCACTGGTGATACTGTGATCGTTGCTGATTCGTGTGATGGTGCTGTATGTTTTAACAAGGATGGTACAGTGATGAGGGAGCTGAGGGACAGTAGATTGAAGAACTCTGTTGGTGTATGTGTAGCTGATGATGGTATCGTTTTTGTGTGCGGATTCAATTCCAACAATATCGTGATGTTTAGCAAGGATGGGTTGTGTAAAGGAGAGATAGTAGCGGCAAACTGTGGTTTAATGTACCCTATAAATATTTGCTTTGATAAAAAAAGAAACACGCTCATTGTGAATTCTAACTATTCCATTACAATAAAAGTACTCGAGTTGGAAGAATAAAGCATGTTTGCATGTCCGTTGAATATCAAATAGACATTTGTAGGGATAGGTGAACTAAGGTTTATTATTAATTGGTAACATGTCACAAGTTTTGTTTAAATATGAAATTAATGTAGACTATGTTGTGTGATTTTATTTATTAAATCTTTCTTTCATATCCCGATCCCTGGGCTGAGAGGCAGAAAAAAGAATATCGCTTTTTAACAGTTTAATATAATTGTATATTTAGAAATATAACTAGTAGTAATTACTTTTAAAGGAAGTGTTTTTATCTATAATACAACTTAATACAACTAGAATACCATGTCATGTGAATTTTGTATTGTTATAAAATTATGTTGCACTATACTGATGTAACTTTAAAATGTGAGTTAATAAATGATATGTTATATTCTGTGCTGAAATAGTTTTTAGAAATGTGTCTATCAATGTTATGCTATGTATGTTACATATATATTTGTATTCAAATATTTAATTGATTTTGTTTGTTTGTTTGTTCTTTTCCCATTGCATTTTGAAAATGTAGATTTCGGTTTTACTGCAATCAATACAGAATAAACAGAATGAACATGACTGTATTATTTTCTTTTCATTGTTTTTTTTTTGCTGATGATGTTGTTGAAGATTAAACGTTCATTATTAGATTTTTGACAGGTTATATAGCCCTATATAAACGGCTGTTTAGCAATATAACCCGAGCCGCTAGAAAGGTTATATTGAAAACAACCTAACAGGAATATTTATAAAGAATTTATAATACCGCTTACTTCATTTTTTTAGAAAAAAAAATGTTTAAAAATGACGTTACAAACGTGAAGTATAATGAATGTAACTAATCCAACATTTCCCAAACAATTTAACAGTAATTGATAAAATATTCATTATAGACTTGCAATTCGATTTCCTTCATTTAAAACAAAAATTTGCATGCAGTTGATAATAGTTTATTTCGTTTAAGGTATGGATCTGGACTTTCAGCAAAATGATCTGCACATGCAACTATAAATTTATTATAGAAATATATTAAAATAACGATTTTTATACTGTCCTATGTGTCAAGAGAAATGCGTTTAAGCCATTTCTTTCACTGAAAACAAATACATAGACTAAAAATGATAATGGGAGATAATTTTAAATTATATTTCAGATGCAAAAATGGTTTGTTTGCAGAGCACTCACTTTAATTGTTATACTGTTACCTATTAACATTTAAAGTTTCATTGGAACCCCCCTAATATTTTTTACGGAAAAGGAAAATAAAGAATCCGTTGTCTTAATATGGTGAAAATTTGTGCAAAATTATATTGAAAAATATTTCGATTGATGGAAAAAATGTGGACCGGACATGAAATAAACCCTCTATCATTAAGTGATATCTTGTGACATTGACAATGAGGGTAGGTGTCTGGGTGTTGCCCGTGAGACGCCATCTTATGATGGTGAACATTTGTATCTAATTTCAAAATCCCTTGATGAATAAAAAAGATATAGACCGGTGTATCGTAGTAATCACACGGATGCAAAAATTACCATCAATCAGACTTTGCTGACCTTTGACCTTTGGGGGTATTGGTCTTGTTATATATGGCACATTGTCTTATTATGGTGAACATATATGCCAAGTCATTTCTAATATTTTATTGATGAAAAAATAATGGACCGGACACCAAATTTGCACACAAAAAAAATTATCGGAGGAATTCACCTGAAACAAAAAAAAAGGTTTTCTCTGGATCCGCACAAGAGTCTTAAATATCGGTCATATTTAAAGATGCATGCCTCTAGATAAGATATTTCAATAAAATCAAACATGAGACAAATGTACTAAGAGTTTAGGAAAAGTAAAATACTAAAGCTTCAAGTAATTATTTACATGTGATGTACGTTTAATGGCTGTTTTTGTTTTTTCAGTATTATATATACAAACACCAATATCTCTAATTCAGTCATTAATGCTGTACAGACGTTTAAAGTGTTGGTTATGTGACGTCACAATGCAGTGCCAAACAAATCGTGCAACAGCATTAAAAAAAACTCAATGGCGCAAACCAATTAAATTTCACATTTATTTCACTATAAATACTTCCTATGCTTGAAAAATATAGACTGAAATAAAACAAACAGACGAACAATTTATCAACGTTTTCATAATCCGTTATTCTCAAAATGTTTCTTCACGCGGTAGACTTAACAAGCTTAGTGTCCAACTTTATTTGTCATCCAATGAAAACGCTGTATTTCTTAAAATTCTGTACGTTAATTTTCATAGAAGAACAAAAGTCGATACAGTATCGAATTACGTTCATAGTCGCAATCTATTTTCATAGTACTTCATAGAACCGCGAAGTGACGTAATAAAGTGAATAATAATGAGGCCAAATAAAATTTGACACTAAATATGTTAGTATTCATCCGTAGCTGTTTTACAGAAATTAGAAACATTCTCCTGTCGCTATCGCTCCCGTCGAAGTTTCTAATTTAACTAGAACAGCACGGATGAACACTAACATATACATAAAGTCCAACTATTTTCTTTCTTGACCTGTTAGAACGGAAATTGATATTAATTCTTTGTGCATTTAAGTATAATAATGCATGGTTTTTCTTTCAAATGCTTTCTAATAAATCACACAGGTCTATCAACCTTCGTGGTTATTTTACTACGCATTTGAACTCAAACCGTGCATTATTCTACAACAAAGCACTCAGAATTGATATCCATTTCCTTAACATTTCACTTGTACAGGTACCTGCTAAAAAGTGATGGTTTTGAAAACTTTCGACGGTAGTACTGGAAAATTACGAGACATTGACACATCGCAACTTTTGTAATTACAAGGAGAAATTTTGATTTAAAATGGATGCGTAGACTGATGTCCTGTGCACTTTTATAGGAACCATAGTAGGACAGAGAACATAAACAGAAGCAGTGCATAAAATACCGAATGGTACTTTTAAAATGAAAAATGAACGATTATTTTGACCGACTTCCCCTTCAAAGGCTTTAACTTATTTCATATTACCCGAACTACAATCTTGTACCCTGTCCTTTTATGGTTTCCATCTACGTTCTCTGACGAGTGGATTCAATGAAGATATCATATAAAACATGAAATGGCCGTATATAGTGTGTGGTTGTGTTGAGTGCGGCCGACAGTGTGCAGTTCTTTGTAACATAAAATGTGTAGCCCAGATATGTTTAAATTATAAAGTACTTTAATTTCTGTCAAAGATCTCGCTTTGAGGTTTTGTCTTAATCATACGACATAAAATAAGACCGAGTTCTCGAAAAAAGATAAAAAAACCTATACCTTTTGTATTGACCTGTTAGCAGTTATAACATATTCATAAATCTTTATATGTCAAAATATTAATTCGTATGAGAAAACTTTATTATCAGAACAGAACAGAACAGAACAAATTTTATTACACGTAAACTGTACAGCTTCTAATGTTATTTATCATGCCATTTCTATGACAACTGCCTGATAAAGCCTGTCTGAGAACAGCAACCTTTCTCAGTCAGTGACTTGAGAACACTTTGTTCCTACGCCAGATCAGCAATGATGATGTTTATTGTTGGTATTGTTTAATTGACTTTGCTGAATATTTATGATAATACACAGTAAATAAATTGTTAAAGCAAATTGTACCAAAAATTGTGTTGTGTTATAAAAGTATTGGTAAAAACCCTCGGACTACTTTTTTGGCGTATAACCCTCTTGTGGTTACCGTAATTTCAGAAATTAGCGCCCCGAATTAAAAAAATAAGATGCAAAATCATAATAGAGGCATGATAAAAAGAATAACAGGTTACTGTCTTTTGAGAAAGGGATTTCTCAGACTCGGCTAGATATGGTCCGGAAGGGGCTCGGCAAGCCTCGCCCCTTCCAGGACCATATCTAACCTCGTCTGAGAAACCCTTTCTCAAAAGACAGTAACCTGTTATTCTCTATTTCTAATGTTAAACAAAGAATGATAAATAAGCCGCGTCATGACAAAACCAACATAATGGGTTTGCGACCAGCATGGATCCAGACCAGCCTGCGCATCCGCGCAGTCTGATCAGGATCCATGCTGTTCGCTTACAAACCCTATAAGAAGTAGAGAAACTGAGAACGAAAATGTATGCACGACCATGAAATACAATTTTTACGGAGTCGTTAAAGCGACACGGGTATTTGATAAAGAAATAATATCGGTTTGAGCGCTGTTTATCAGCTATTTAACACCGGTTTGCAGTTTTGATGCGTAGGATTGACCACGAAGGCCGTAGGCCTGAGGTTAATTTATTCGCATCAAAACGACAAAATCGGTGTTAAAAAGCCGATAAACACCGCTCAGACCGATGTTATTTCGATTCTAACAAGATAAAATAAGGAAGATTACTTATGTTATTTTTTAAGCGGAAATAACTTCCGGTGCCGATTTTCGTATAACGCTGTTCGATGTCGCACCCTACTGATGCTAAGATATAGAAATTATTAAACAAAAGAATTTATAAGAAAAAAGTTATTCAACACAAAACAACATAGGTCTACGAATGGATTGCATTGTGTTAATCTATCATTCTTGTACGTTTGAAATGACGTCAGCGTTTATGAATAAGTTGTATACTTAGGATGACGTCATTACGCTGCTTACGAATTGGTGCCGTTTTGTCAAAATATTTATTAAATGATATGGATCAAATCTGTGGTGTTTGTGTATGTGAGATATTATTTCAGTAAAGAAAAGAAAACATTATAAGAACTGAAAATAAAATTAAAAGGCCTTTTTATTGATGCTTTAAAAGGCTTTGTAAACCATATAATCGAGGGAGAAAACATCCGCATATTCAAGTAGCCCCTAACCAGTGTTTATTGGCAGTTTATCACCGGTTTTTTCGTGACAAAATTACGCGGAATGTTACAGTCCTAGGATGCTAATTTGGTCGAAACGGTACATGGGAAAGTCTATTAAAGGGTAAATCTGCATATTACCTGAGATTGAAAGTGTTAACATTATTATATAGTTTAATCCTAAAATAAATGTGTTCCGTCGCAATGGCTTAGATGGTAAATCAAAGTCACTGTAACTTTTCATGATTAAAACTCGTTCTCTACGCTCTGCCATGTTATAATGATGATGTTGTTTTTTCTCCCTTTTTACTTACTTTGTCTTTAGTTTGAACATATTTTGTTCAAGATTCTAAATGTCTATTTCTTTCCATCCTTTCATTTTTGTTTTTGTTTCTTTTTTATTTTATTTTGAAAATCAAATTATTTTGAACACACAGCGATTACGAAATATCAATAATATGCATAATTTTAATATACATGTATTTGGGTCAATGTAAGCACACTTTATTTCATTGAAGTGTTTAAATTTCTAATAATGTACTTTTCTGATGTAACGTTTTACACAAATGCATATCAACCTGTATACAAAAATATGCTATCACACGCATTTGAAATTGTTTGAAAATAAGAAAAAAATATATAAAAACACTCCGATATCGTGATTCTAACATGTAAATGCATGAATACGACACTGAAACGGACGGAC